TCACCATCTTGGTCAGGCTGGTCTGGAACTCCTGGCCTGGCGATCCACCCACCTTAACTCCCAAAGTTCTGGGATTACACAAGCCCGGCTGGTTTGTTTGTTTTCAGATAGGGTCAGGCTCTGTCAGCCAGGCTGGAATGCAATGGTGTGATCCTCACTGCTGCCTCAACCTGAGGGCTCAAGTCATCCTCCCACTTCAGCCTCCTGAGAAGCTGGGACCACAGGGATGAGCCACCATGCCTGGCTAATTTTTAAATTTTTTGTAGAATGGGGTCTCTCTATGTTGCCCAGGCTGGTCTCAAACTACTGGGCTCAAGTGATCCTCCTGCCTTGGCCTTACTTACAGAGGCTGGGATTAAAGTCATGAGCCACTGTGCCTGCTCAATCCTTTTTATATGTCTGAGGAAAAATAAATGTCCTGTTTTTAGGCTAAGATCAAGTAATCCTCGTGTGTTAGGAAGCATGTGACATGGATTTTTGCAGCAGAGGGTTAGAAAGGAACTTTATGTACTTGGCCCTCTGCATTTCAGGGCTCCACCGCCATCTGTCTGTCTGAGTGTACAGTGCACCTTATCAGCATCTGGACTGCCAAACTGCTTTTTTTCCTTTGCTTTATCCCAGCCTTCTCTTGAAGGCTAAATTTTTCTTGAAAAGTTAATATTCTTTGTGTTCCTTTAGTAAATATTAAGCTTTATGTCAACACATATTGCAGGATCTGAGGCTCTCTAGGCACCTCTGGTCCCTTTCTCTAGTCTTTTCTCTCTAGTCTGTTTGTTTTCCTGTCCTCCATCTCCTAATTTATTAGTTTGTTTTATTATTATATTTTATATATATATTTTTTTGAGACAGAGTTTTACTCTTGTTTCCCAGGCTGGAGTGCAATGGCACAATCTCGGCTCACTGCAACCTCTGCCTTCTGGGTTCAAGTGATTCTCCTGCCTCAGCCTCCTGAGTAGCTGGGATTACAGGTGCCCATAGCTATACCTGGCTAATTTTTGTATTTTTTTTTTTTTTTTTTTGAGAC